ATATATCAGTGTTTCTGTTTACAAGACAGTGACTGCAGTTTGTAATCTGTTAGAGGATGGGTATCTTGTCACAGAACAACCCTTTTGGACATCTTTATAAATGTTTTAGTAACTGAGCAATGGATCAGTGATGCAAAATACTTTCTTATCTAGCAGCAGCTCTTATCTGAATTTACTGTATCTACTGTGGAGAAAGCACGAGGTTCCAGTGCTACAGTGTTTGTGTTGTGAGCACTACAAAACTTTTTAAAACCACTGTTCATTTGCTCAGTATCAAAGAAAACATTTTAACCAAACTTAAGTGCTAACTAGTCACTCAGAGGTCTTCACTACCTAAAATTTTCCTTCATAACAGAATCTTTACAGTGTATGAGATAGAAATAATAAAATAATTTTCTTATTCTTTCCCTTAGGCATTTCCTGGAAACACAAACTCTGATAGTGTGCTCCGACATGATTTGCAACACCCAGTCATTGCTCGCTATGTACGTATAGTTCCTTTAGATTGGAATGGAGAAGGCCAAATTGGGTTAAGAATTGAGGTCTACAGCTGCTCCTACTGTAAGTTTTTCCATTATATTCCTTTAAAAAAAAAAAAAAAAATCTAAATGGAAACTGTCTTTGAATTTCAAATCTGAATCTCAAGTGCTTTTTGCTAAAATGCATGAAGATATTCCAGGGTTACTAATTGTAATAACTGGAGCTTAATTTAATATTTACTGTATAAAGGAGTAATTCTGAGTTTCTAGTTAGCTCTTCTATAGGAAATACAGCATTAGAATTAGTAAGAGTGCTTTGAAATCACTACTTTTGATCTTCAAAATTGTTTTTGCAGAAGACTTGAATAGACCAGTTGAGGAAAAGATAGCATTCAGATACATTTCATGCTGGGTCTTGAGAGGGAAACAAGACATAATTCATTGCCTGATGACAAAGATAAAAATAAAACAAGTAAAAATTCAATTGAAGAAGCTCATCTTGTCTAAATATTACATGTTTTTCGGAGATTTTTCCTTTAATATTTGAGTATAACTTTAGAATCTCTTCTAAAAAAAAAAACGAGATGAGCAATGGTGCAAGTGGTTAAGAGCACAACAGATCAAGTTTTAAGAAAAGCAAGTGTAGTTTCTAAATACCATTCCTTGAATTTGATCCTGTGGGTGCTTACGTGAAGTCCACATGCCTGCAAACTGTAAATGTCTGATGTCCTATTTCTATGCAAATTTAGTACAGTATTCTTGTAGGTGTTTTAGGGAAAATAAATACTTGAGATTTATCTTAAAAAAATAACAATAAAAAATGTTAGAACAAGTTAAGAAGCACCTATCTTGAAGACTCTTCCATTGACATCAAGTGATTTAAGGCCTATTGAAACACTTTGTCATGGTAACTAGCAATTATGTTAATTAACTAGCAAAAATATCTTGTGATTTCTGTTGCTTTGACTTGGCTATGTGCTTTCATTAAACACTATTGAGAATCACATTCTGGTATTATTTTTCCTATTTCCATGCAAAGAATTAAAGCCTCATTTTAAAATTTAGATTAAACTTAGATAATTTTTTAACAGCTGAAATAACTTAGCTGAAAAATCAAATCAAACTTGCTACGGTGTTGGTAGGGCTGTACTGGGGGAATTCATGGGTGTTGGATACGTTTGTAAGA